GAGAAGATCTATCCCTAACACCTTTGTTGTTTTAGGCCCAGATACAATCAGATACTATCCCTGGGTTTTTCTTAGAAAACCTTATCTTATATCGTAGATATAGACCCAGTAAGTTAAAGGAGAAGACGAGTAAGCTAACATCGACCAGCTGGTAGTCCCTACCAGCCTATGGGCAGAGATCATGCGTCTGGCCCATGGCCCTCTCTCATGATACGGCTTCAACAAGACTTACAACGCCCCGAAGCAGGACTACCACTGACCAGGTATGGTTCGTGACGTCAAAACCTTTGTGAATTCATGACACACGTGTCAGATGGCAGGTAAGCCGAACGCTCCCATACCCCAGGCACCACTGATTCCAATCCCAGTGCCTTCGGAACCGTTCAGTAAGCTCATAATCGATAGTGTCGGTCCATTGCCCAGGATAAGATCAAGTAACATCCATATCAGTAATATCCCGTGTTCTACCACCAGGTTCCCTATAGCAGTTTCCGTCAAGAACAGAACGGCTGCTAACGTTGTGAAGCACCTCGTGAAGCGGTGCCCGCAATGCAGACATTCCCAGGAGAGTCAGAGCAGTTGTGGCACCATCCTCCCCAGCGACCTGTGTAAGACAACCAACATCTCCCAGGTACTGTCTAGCCCTTGTTATTCTGCTGTTCCTGACTGCAATGGTTCTAAATCCTTGATTTCTACTTCCGAAATCCAGAAAGATCTTTCTACCTACGAACCAAATCCAGTTAAGGGTGCTCCTCTAGACAACTAGACCAGCCTTCAGCCCAGATACCTTAAAACCACACCACACTCCATTTCATCTGAATGCCTGAAACCCTTTGTCTTCTATGTCGACGCCGGCAACAGTGGCTTCAGGAACGTCATGACAACGTAGTGAGATGGGATCAGGCCATCCAGCTACTACTGTCATAAAGGAGCCATTCAACATCCTACCAAGCGTGCAACACATTCAATCTACAATGTTACCATCTCATCAACATCTCCTCGGACCACAATCCCCTTTGGTCCATGAAGCAAGCCTAGTTCTCTAACCAACCTGTACTTCGGTGGGTCCTGCAGCACCCCATCATCAACATCTCCTCGTATCACAATCTCCTTCGGTTCCTGCAGCAAGCCCAGTTCTCCAACCAGCGCTTGCTTCGCTGGGCCTTGCACCTGCTGAACCATCTCCTTGGATCACCATTCCCTTTGATCCATTCAGCCGGCTCAGTTCTCCAACCAACTCATACTTAACTGAGCCCTGCATACATCAACAACATCTTCTCCAATCACCATCCTGTTCAGTTCCTACAGCAGATCCAGTTCTCCAACCAGCACTTGCTTTGCTGGGTCTTGTACCTGCAGAACCGCAATCTTAACATCATCTTTATCAAAGGTTCCGACAACGTCGGCGCCGACGCACTCTTCCGAGTCCACGAGGTGGAACCTCCCACTTCAACTCTCCACTCCACTGCAGCATCACAGGCGATAGGAAGATGCTTCAGGGAGGAGCTGTTATGGCTATTTCCTGCGTAACGTAGATCCTCTACTGCTAAGCAGATAGATAGAGGTCAGGTCACGTGGGGACCTGACCTCTACCAGAAGGTAGAGGTAGAGGTAGGGAAGGTAGAAAGCCAAGAAGGCTTTCCCGAGTGTTACAACAGTTAATACAGAAGACATCACAATGTCTTTGTAATGTCCCCAAATGTCCCGAACATTACCCCAACTCGTAACATATTACAAGGTCAGTCTCCTCAGAGTTAGTCGTTAGGTAGTTTAGGATGTCTCAACACATGCATATTTATTTAAAGTTATCATCATAAAGTCATATTTCTAGTACTACAAACACCGGCTTATTATAATCACTACATATCAAGACCATACGTAAATCAATAAATATAAATAATCAATTATCTCAGAACATGATATAATATCAGTCGTATGAATCACTGCCTCAACAAGTAATTATTATTATTATTATTCCATGAAGTCTCTGCACGTCAAACTGTGCCTCAAACTAGGCTGCTGCGTGTCCAACCCACTTGGGCTGCACGGTAGAGTGACGGTCTGACTTCATGCAGGTCAGCGTTCAATCTCCGACCGTCCAAGTGGTTGGGCACCATTCCTTTCCCCCGTCCCATCCCAAATCCCTATCCTGACCCCTTCCAAGTGTTATATAGTGGCAATGGCCTGGCATTTTCCCCTGATACGTCCTTCTCGTCTTGATTAATCTTGCTAGGTACAGGTCATATAGTCATCAACAATCTTAACCTTTAAAACATAAATCGATAAGAACTAGTAAACAACCACCTCCATTCACTGCGTCACGTACACCAATAAATGTATTCTTCAAACAAGCAAACAAAGATATCTAACGATCCCTGTGGATCAACTGTGGATCAATCCTCATTTAATCAGGTAAATCTGGCGAATTATTCTCCAGCAAGTCAACTGGAGAACCTTCATCCAACAGGTCCTCAAATGAATTCAAACTCCTCTAAGCTACTATGAACACATCTGGAATTTTAAATAACAAAAATAATCTCCCACCATAAACCAATAGAAAATATGTTAACTAAAAGTCTTACTCTTTACGCCACCACTGTTCGATCCCCGTAGACTGCTAAGTGTACTATCCTGCTCCGGACGAGTCTACACCTCAAATCTGTTCCGACAGTCTCTTACTGCCAGTTGAGCACCAACCACCGATCTAGCGAGTATGTGTCGATCTCGCCTCCATCATGCTACTCTACCTTAATTCTCTAATATCACTTCGTAATCATTATATGCATGATAAATTAATGTATCTAAGCATTACTGTAACTGAGCATTTCTCCTCACTGTAGAATTAAAGCAGCCAAAGAGTCTTACCGCAAAACTCACGGAGCGACGACACTTGTCTCCACAAATCAGAATGGTGCCTGGGGTTTGTTTAAGCTCCTCTCCAGGTCGACCACAAATTCTTCTCTCGAGTGCCACTATAGTATTCTTTTCCTGACTTGAGTGTAGCCGTCATACACAGGCACCAACCTTGTTTCACCTGTCACCGGGTCCTCACATGGGACACACAAACCTCTTCATAAGTTTACGACAGTGGATTACCAGAGTACGGTCACCTCAGTGGCTTCAGACCGCCCTTGCGGTTCCACAAGTCCAGGCTGACACCACAATCTCCCTCGTCTTGCCTACAGTACTTGTCTCTGTCAGAGTTCACTGTAGTTTCTTCCCCATAACGCAGGAAGTGTACTTTCTTCTAAGTTGGGGCGAATTGCGTCCGTCCTCGACGATTCCTCACTAGCAAGTGACGTCACAAAGCCTTTGTACATGACACGTCACGCCCTTGCTCCTTCCTCATGACCAGTTGATCACGACCAATCACGATGACATCATTGTCAACGTGCCTCCTGGGCCGGCAAGATAATGTTTACAGATACGCTGACTTTGGTAAATCGTTCCTCCATATAACCGAACATTACAACTTGAACACTTCTTAAGTGACCATTGATATACTACTCTGAACATTGAAGATATTTACTGAAACCGAGAGGGTTTTGAACCTTAAAATAATTACTATTTACAGGGATTTACATTACCCGCTATTTACAGGGATTTACATTACCCACTATTTACAGGGATTTACATTTCCCGCTATTTACAGGGATTTATAAAACCTGCTATTTACAGGGATTTACACTTCTCTCTTTTTACAGCAATTTACACTACCTGCTATTTACAGTGTGTAAGGTACCGGATAAGGTCTATCGTCTACATATTTACTGGTCAATGTGTCGACGTCCACGGCCCACCATCCAGTGGCCCGAACGTCGACCAAGCCTCCTGGTTGCTGGACTGGTTAACCAGGCTGTTGGACGCGGCTACTGGCAGCCTGACGTATAAATCACCGCCTGGTTGATCAAGTATCCTTGTGTTAAGGATGGCTTACTTATGGCTTACCATGACATCTTAGATGTGACTTCAGTCGTTATGCTAACTTTCCTATGACTTCAGCCGCTAACTTTAGCTGCCTTTCTAACTTTGTCCTAACTTCAGCCGCCAGGCTGAATCATGTTATTAAACTTCCCGCAAGTTTTGGGAAGTAATTTAAACCAAAGTGAATGGTGTCTGGCTGAGGTCAGCCCCCCCCCCCCCCGCATTTTATTGACGTCTCTTTTGCGCATGCCGGCTATCCACTACTATTATCCACCACTACTATCCACCACCACTATCCACTAACATTATCAACCACCATGGTTCACTACCACTATCCACTTCCATTATCCACCACTACACTACTATTCACTATCATTATCCACCACCACTATTCACCACCTCTATCCACTTCCATTATCCACAACCACTATCCACCACCGCTATCCACTACCACACCAGGGTCTACTATCATTATCCACAACCACTATCCACCACCATTATCTACCACCACTATCCACCATCACTACCACAAACATCCATCACCAATAACACCATCCACCAACATCGTCACCATCATCCACCACCACTAACATAATCCACCACCATCACCATCATCAACCACCATCACTATTATCCACCACCATCACCATCATCCACCACCATCACTATTATCCACCACCATCACCATCATCCACCACCTGGTTGATGGGGTTCTGGGAGTTCTTCTACTCCCCAAGCCCGGCCCGAGGCCAGGCTTGACTTGTGAGAGTTTGGTCCACTAGGCTGTTGCTTGGAGCGGCCCGCAGGCCCACATACCCACCACAGCCCGGTTGGTCCGGCACTCCTTGAAGGAAACAATCTAGTTTCCTCTTGAAGATGTTCACGGTTGTTCCTGCAATATTTCTGATGCTCGCTGGGAGGAGGTTGAACAGCCGCGGACCTCTGATGTTCATACATCAGAGGTCCACGGGAAGGGAAGGGAGGAAAAAAATATTGAAGTAGGTGTCAAAAGTATTCCAAAATTGTCAAAAATGATTATCAAACACAAGTGTCAACTGAAATCATGTCTATGACTCTCAGCTATCACACCTGACCCGCTGGTAGGTGAGGGAGACCTGCTGGTAGGTGAGGGAGACCTGCGGGTAGGTGAGGGAGACCCGCTGGTAGGTGAGGGAGACCTGCTGGTAGGTGAGGGAGACCTGCTGGTAGGTGAGGGAGACCCGCTGGTAGGTGAGGGAGACCTGCTGGTAGGTGAGGGAGACCTGCTGGTAGGTGAGGGAGACCTGCTGGTAGGTGAGGGAGACCTGCTGGTAGGTGAGGGAGACCTGCTGGTAGGTGAGGGAGACCCGCTGGTAGGTGAGGGAGACCTGCTGGTAGGTGAGGGAGACCCGCTGGTAGGTGAGGGAGACCTGCTGGTAGGTGAGGGAAACCCGCTGGTAGGTGAGGGAGACCTGCTGGTAGGTGCTGGTAGGTGAGGGAGACCCGCTGGTAGGTGAGGGAGACCTGCTGGTAGGTGAGGGAGGCTGAGGTGAGGGGGACCCGCTGGTAGGTGAGGGAGACCTGCTGGTAGGTGAGGGAGACCTGCTGGTAGGTGTGGGAGACCTGCTGGTAGGTGAGGGAGACCCGCTGGGAGGTGAGGGAGACCCGCTGGTAGGTGAGGGAGACCCGCTGGTAGGTGTGGGAGACCTGCTGGTAGGTGTGGGAGACCTGCTGGTAGGTGTGGGAGACCTGCTGGTAGGTGAGGGAGACCTGCTGGTAGGTGAGGGAGACCCGCTGGTAGGTGAGGGAGTCCCGCTGGCAGGTGAGGGGGACCCGCTGGTAGGTGTGGGAGACCCGCTGGTAGGTGTGGGGGACCCGCTGGTAGGTGAGGGGGACCCGCTGGTAGGTGAGGGAGACCCGCTGGCAGGTGAGGGGGACCCGCTGGTAGGTGAGGGAGACCCGCTGGCAGGTGAGAGGGACCTGCTGGTAGGTGAGGGGGACCCGCTGGTAGGTGAGGGAGACCCGCTGGCAGGTGAGGGGGACCCGCTGGTAGGTGAGGGGGACCCGCTGGCAGGTGAGGGGGACCTGCTGGTAGGTGAGGGGGACCCGCTGGCAGGTGAGGGGGACCCGCTGGCAGGTGAGGGGGGACTGCCTCCACTACACACCACCACATCACTCCATGACAGGACATTTTGTTGTTTCATTTTGTATGACTGTCTGTGAAGGTGTTTAAATATGTCCTAAGTATTTTCCCACTATATAAAACTCGTCACCTTAATTAAGAAGTGCAGCTTTTAACAAAACACTTTAAAATGCATAAAAAAATACAATATATCTCCGCGTTGCTTTCAATTCCCTTGAATCTGGCGTGGTGGAAAAAATTCTCAAACTTTAGCAATATAAGATCAGCAACGTCACGAGAAGGACCCAAGAACTTTATACAAAAGTTTAAAAGATGGCATTTTTAACTCCAACTTGGAGAGACAATCAGCAAGGTTGGCGCTTCGAGTCTGGTCAATAGCGATCATAGATTATTGGGGGAAGAGTTGAGGTCCTCCTTGAACACTGAGGATGTTACTCCTTGGTGTGGGTCTCCCACATGTTGCACTACATTAATAAACCACCAAGTACAGCACCAGTTTTACGATATAAATGCTTTCTATGGAGTGAGGTGTGGTGATATCGACACCATGTGTAGACCTGCACTCCAACTCCAAGGCTTTTAGTGACACGAAGACAACGCCATCTGTTGGCGGAGGTGAGACGTCTGTGATAGGCTCCTGTTTAGTACATCAGTTAGGAGGTGAGGTCAATGATGATGACCTCTGGTGAGTAAAGTAGCGATATCAACGCCATCTAGGTTGTGCATTCGAGTACTTTTCAGTTCCCCGGTGAAAGTCTCATCATATGTTCTCAAAGTATACTTCCTATCTGGGTAATGACTTTTATGTCCACAGAGGTGACCTGGAGAGTCTATTGTGTAATGGAAATCAGTTCACCTTTGTTAGTCCAGAAATCCAGACTTGTTTCCAGCGAAGGACAAGTGGCCGCCGTCAGAAGTAAGCAGTGTGTTGGCTGTTGTCCATAGGTAGTGTTGTATGGACCGAAGAACCCGGGATTTCGACAAGAAGAGTTACAAGACGACAGTAGTGTTTGTCTGCTGAGAAGTGTTGCTAGAGACTTCTGTCAGGGTGTTAGAGACCCTTGAAAGTGATTTTAGTGACCCCTGTCAGCTTGATGCTGAAGCCCTCTGCCAGTGTGTTCCTGGGGACCGGATGTGGGGTATTGGGACATCGTGACGATACGGTGTAGGGACTGGCCCATGTTGAGGAAGGTGAATTCGCTGGTGTTTACCATTGAGCGTAAACGACTAATAATTGAAAATAATGGAATCACCGAGATTTGAAGAACACTGCATATATAGTGAGTGTCCTGAATGAAGGCGACACTGTGTGCATAAGTGTAGTTATACTTTGATAGATAATATATGAGTGAAGATGTTATTGCGTCTGGCTTACCTCTCCTTTATTCCTTGCACAATTATTTACTACCACCAACTACTGACAACTAACCATCGACTTGGGGCTCCGAGCTCCATTACACAGAGAGAACCCGGTTACTAGCTCAAGCTGGCCGTAACAACCAGCGGGTGGAGCACCAGCGGGTACAGCACCAGCGGGTACAGCACCAGCGGGTACAGCACCAGCGGGTACAGCACCAGCGGGTACAGCACCAGCAAGTCCAGCACCAGCAAGTACAGCACCAGCAAGTACAGCACCAGGAAGTACAGCACCAGGAAGTACAGCACCAGCAAGTACAGCACTAGCAAGTACAGCACCAGCAAGTACAGCACCAGAAAGTGGAGCACCAGGAAGTACAGCACCAGCAAGTACAGCACCAGCAAGTACAGCACCAGCAGGTACAGCACCAGCAAGTACAGCACCAGCAAGTACAGCACCAGCAAGTACAGCACCAGCAAGTACAGCACCAGCAAGTACAGCACCAGCGGGTACAGCACTAGCGGGTACAGCACCAGCGGGTACAGCACCAGCAAGTACAGCACCAGGATGTGCAGCACCAGCAAGTACAGCACTAGCAAGTACAGCACCAGCAAGTACAGCACCAGCAAGTACAGCACCAGCAAGTACAGCACCAGCAAGTACAGCACTAGCAAGTGCAACACTAGCAAGTACAGCACCAGCAAGTACAGCACCAGCAAGTACAGCACTAGCAAGTACAGCACCAGCAAGTACAGCACCAGCAAGTACAGCACCAGAAAGTGGAGCACCAGGAAGTACAGCACCAGCAAGTACAGCACCAGCAAGTACAGCACCAGCAAGTACAGCACCAGGAAGTACAGCACCAGCAAGTACAGCACCAGCAAGTACAGCACCAGCAAGTACAGCACCAGCAAGTACAGCACCAGCAAGTACAGCACCAGCAAGTACAGCACTAGCAAGTACAGCACCAGCAAGTACAGCACCAGCACTAGCAAGTACAGCACCAGCAAGTACAGCACCAGCAAGTACAGCACCAGCACCAGCAAGTACAGCACCAGCAAGTACAGCACCAGCAAGTACAGCACCAGCAAGTACAGCACCAGCAAGTGGAGCACCAGGAAGTACAGCACCAGGAAGTACAGCACCAGCAAGTACAGCACCAGCAAGTACAGCACCAGCAAGTACAGCACCAGCAAGTACAGCACCAGCAAGTACAGCACCAGCAAGTACAGCACCAGCAAGTACAGCCCCAGTAAGTACAGCAAGTACAGGACCAGCAAGTACAGCACCAGCAAGTACAGCACTAGCAAGTACAGCATCAACAAGCAGCAAGTACCAGCAAGTACAGCACCAGCAAGTACAGCAACAAGCAGCAAGTACAGCAGGACCAGCAAGTACAGCACCAGGATGTCCAGCACTAGCAAGTACAGCACCAGCAAGTACAGCACCAGCAAGTACAGCACTAGCAAGTACAGCACCAGCAAGTACAGCACCAGCAAGTACAGCACCAGCAAGTACTCTACCAGCAAGTACAGCACCAGCAAGTACAGCACTAGCAAGTACAGCACCAGCAAGTACAGCACCAGGATGTGCAGCACTAGCAAGTACAGCACCAGCAAGTACAGCACTAACAAGTACAGCACCAGCAAGTACAGCACCAGCAAGTACAGCACCAGCAAGTACAGCACCAGCAAGTACAGCACCAGCAAGTACAGCACCAGCAAGTGCAGCACCAGCAAGTACAGCAGCACCAGCAAGTGACAGCACCAGCAAGTACAGCACCAGCAAGTACAGCACCAGCAAGTACAGCACCAGCAAGTACAGCACCAGCAAGTACAGCACCAGCAAGTACAGCACCAGCAAGTGTACAGCACCAGCAAGTACAGCACCAGCAAGTACAGCACCAGCAAGTACAAGTACAGCACCAGCAAGTACAGCACCAGCAAGTGGAGCACCAGCAAGTACAGCACCAGCAAGTACAGCACCAGCAAGTACAGCACCAGCAAGTACAGCACCAGCAAGTACAGCACCAGCAAGTACAGCACCAGCAAGTGGAGCACCAGCAAGTACAGCACCAGCAAGTACAGCACCAGCAAGTGGAGCACCAGCAAGTACAGCACCAGCAAGTACAGCACCAGCAAGTACAGCACCAGCAAGTACAGCACCAGCAAGTACAGCACCAGCAAGTACAGCACCAGCAAGTACAGCACTAGCAAGTACAGCACCAGCAAGTACAGCACCAGCAAGTACAGCACCAGCAAGTACAGCACCAGCAAGTAAGTAGCAAGTACAGCACCAGCAAGTACAGCACCAGCAAGTGTACAGCACCAGCAAGTACAGCACCAGCAAGTACAGCACCAGCAAGTACAGCACCAGCAAGTACAGCACCAGCAAGTACAGCACCAGCAAGTACAGCACCAGCAAGTACAGCACCAGCAAGTACAGCACCAGCAAGTACAGCACCAGCAAGTACAGCACCAGCAAGTACAGCACCAGCAAGTACAGCACCAGCAAGTACAGCACCAGCAAGTACAGCACCAGCAAGTACAGTACCAGGATGTGCAGCACTAGCAAGTATAGCACCAGTAAGTACAGCACCAGCAAGTACAGCACCAGCAAGTACAGCACCAGCAAGTACAGCACCAGCAAGTACAGCACCAGCAAGTACAGCACCAGCAAGTACAGCACCAGCAAGTACAGCACCAGCAAGTACAGCACCAGGATGTGCAGCACTAGCAAGTACAGCACCAGCAAGTACAGCACCAGCAAGTACAGCACCAGCAAGTACAGCACCAGGAAGTACTGCACCAGCAAGTACAGCACCAGCGGGTACAGCACCAGCAAGTACAGCACCAGGTACAGCACCAGCAAGTACAGCACCAGCAAGTACAGCACCAGCAGCACCAGCAAGTACAGCACCAGCAGCACCAGCAAGTACAGCACCAGCAAGTACAGCACCAGCAAGTACAGCACCAGCAAGTACAGCACCAGCAAGTACAGCACCAGCAAGTACAGCACCAGCAAGTACAGCACCAGCAAGTACAGCACCAGCAAGTACAGCACCAGCAAGTACAGCACCAGCAAGTACAGCACCAGCAAGCGGGTACAGCAGCCCCAGTAAGTACAGCACCAGCAAGTACAGCACCAGCAAGTACAGCACCAGCAAGTACAGCACCAGTAAGTACAGCCCCAGTACAGCACCAGCAAGTACAGCACCAGCAAGTACAGCACCAGCAAGTACAGCACCAGCAAGTACAGCACCAGCAAGTACAGCACCAGCAAGTACAGCACCAGCAAGTACAGCACCAGCAAGTACAGCACCAGCAAGTACAGCACCAGCAAGTACAGCACCAGCAAGTACAGCACCAGCAAGTACAGCACCAGCAAGTACAGCACCAGCAAGTACAGCACCAGCAAGTACAGCACCAGCAAGTACAGCACCAGCACCAGCAAGTACAGCACCAGCAAGTAGCAAGTACAGCACCAGCAAGTACAGCAAGTACAGCCAGCAAGTACAGCACCAGCAAGTACAGCACCAGCAAGTACAGCACCAGCAAGTACAGCACCAGCAAGTACAGCACCAGCAAGTACAGCACCAGCAAGTACAGCACCAGCAAGTACAGCAAGTACAGCACCAGCAAGTACAGCACCAGCAAGTACAGCACCAGCATACAGCAAGTACAGCACCAGCAAGTACAGCACCA